AGTACCACACAAAAGCAGAACAAAAAAATGAAATAATCATTACTTCAACACGAGCAATAGCAAACCTGGTTATATCATCGTGGTTTATGTGCTTGTTTGTACACTGAATGGTGCAAGTCATGTGTGTTAATCTCGGTGCCCTACATTTGTGAAAATGCTGTGGTGTTTTACAAGGCCAATTTAAACTGATGTGGTGGTTATCAGCTGTCCTGTTCATTGCCAAACAGCTAAATTACTGCAATACAACAACATTAACATCACAGTCCTGAGGGAATTAAAGCTTTTCTTCAAAGCTGTAATAAACAAAAGGGTGAACAGTGTTTGGAAATATATAAACCACCTTCCTTTTGATGAGAAATGAGAGTTGAGATACACAGTTCTTAGAAAAAGGGGAACAGCAGGCTACTCAGAAGCAGTTCTGCTTTGAACTAGTAGTTAACAGAGTGAATCAGTTTTCTATTTTAGATTTTTTTACCCTTACAGGTTTAGTTCTGTCTGTGGTTCTGTTGTTGTACAGTGTAAATTTCGAGTCCTACACTAACTTAGAACTAATAACTGGTATAGTTATATATATTAAAATAGTCTCTGGTGTATTTCTGTCATGCTTTGAACAGAGACATTATTAGCATTTTCCAATCAAACACTAGGTTTTGTTTGTTGTCTTTTTAAAGAAAAGTACAAAAAGTTCTAATCATAGAAATAAAATTGGAATGATTAGGCTGACAAAAACAATGACAGGAAAGTTGAGGATTCCTCATTTTAACTGCACTAGTTAAAACAAACATGGTACACAAATAGTTAAAATGAGCTTCTCTTCTTTGTTGTTCTAAAATATGTATGACTAGTACATTTTGCAATTCGTTAAGGGGAATATATAATTAGAATGCAGTCCTCTGCTTAATGTATAGTTAATCCTAGGCTGTTCACACCAAATTCTCATCTGAGTGTGTAACAATAATGGAAATAAAGTTTAAAATCAATCCAAAGGCCACTCTGCTAGTAGGACTAAAGTGTCCTTTGACACTGTAATGCTGAAATGTGCCCCATGTCTCTGTCTTCTTAACATTAGTAAATATATAGACTCTATAAATTGGCTTCATCACTCTGCTCTCCTCCCCACTGAGAGCTGGTGTGTGGTGAGTGTACTGGTGGACTGAGGCTGCCGTCGCATCATCCAGGTGGGGCTGCACATTGGTGGTGGTGGAGGGGAGTCCCCATTACCTGTAAAGCGCTTTGAGTGGAGTGTCCAGAAAAGCGCTATATAAGTGTTAGCAATTATTATTATTATTATTATTATTATTATTATTATTATTAATAAACGTTAATCCAGGACTAAAGTGAAATAAAGCACAAAGTTGTGGAGCACGGAGAGATGTCATTAAACATCATAAAAACCGTGGAAAACCATGGCAAAACAGTGTCGATGCATGGAACAAGAGAACTGGGAAAACTTTGGGAATCCTTTGCAAACTGATCTTGAATACTATTTGGGGAGTATAGAGTGTTCATCCTCCTGTCCGGTTTCTCTGAGCTGGAACATAAGTCAAGCTGATTCTGAGAAATGCGCTTCCAAGAGTGTGGCACATAAAATCATAGTGCATGGTTGAACTATTCACAAAATACAGTAACTCTTAATTTTAACGTTTAGAATTTGTTCTGCTCTGTTGCTCCCCTTAAATACGAATTAAAACTATGGAAAGAGTGCTTTTTATCATACAAAAGGTGCACTTAACAGCTTTATGTCAGCAGGATAGCGTTGTTGTATTGCGGACATTTTCCTCAAGGAATAGTTTTATATAAATTGGTTCCTAAAACTAGCCATGTAGAAAATAGTGTTTAATGCATTCAGCTTTAGGATGTGTTTTCTTATCCCACCATCCCCTGAGAACTCAGAGACAACTTTACCCAATTTTCAGAATTAATTCTTTATTTTGTAAAAAAAACTTTGTTCTCTGTAGAGAAGAAACCCAGGGATATATTCTGGTATGTCTCGGCTTTCCATTCCCTTTTCACATATTACTCATTTCACTTTAATTCAGTATTTTGAAACAAATCTAGGGCAGTGTTCTTCATTAAGGATCTAAGGATTAGGATTATGCTAACTGACTTAAACTGTTGAGTAAAGGCTGTCATGCACATCAGTCGTCTTGAATAACTCCACAGTTTGACATGCAAGATAATGACAGATTAGATTTCAGATGTCAAATAGTGCATGCCACACATAGATTTCACGAGGCAATGAAAAACAAATTGGGAAATTAATGTTAACTGTACTGACGTTTTGAGGAAATAACAGCAAAAAAAAACAAATTACGTGTCAGAAGATGGAAATTTATTGTCTCCTTTTAACTTTTTGTTACTATCATTTTTCAACAAACTAAATTTGAGTGTGTTCAAGTAAGTAGCTGTGTCAGCAAGCACAGGCTGCAAAAGAACAAGTAAAGGTTAAATCCCTCGCTGAAAAGAGAAGAAAAGAAACACAACGTTTCGGCTGTGGAGCCTTCTTTGGGTGTCAGTCTGAATTTCCACCCAGAAACATTTTTTACATTTAAAATTCAACAAATGTAACAGAATCAATAGTATTTGTTACATTTTTTATGCTTCTCTGTATTCAAAGAGCCTGGTCATTTCTGAAGCAGAGATAATAGGAATATGAAGCAGGGCTTAGCAGAACAAAGGTACTGTAGCAAGACCGATACAGTCCATTATGATATATATGCTGTGAACTTTGAAATATTTTTGGGGAAAAGGACAATTACGCTACATTGCAGACTCTCATTTTAAAGTTGAGCGTTCCTGCAATTGTTGAGAAAACACAGTCAACAGTCAATGAAAATGATCTCAGAACTGTCCAAATCGAAAATACTTGAAAACCCTACTACTATAAGGCAACGAGGGATCAGACAAAGAAAATAAATTTACTTTTATCTGCTAAAACAAGAAAAGCTTTATAACTGTCATCAAAACAGCAAGCAGTTAAAAAACTAAAAGCTGGAAAAAGATGTTCCATGCTCCCCCCTGTCAAAAGTAGCTTAATAATGCTCCCAGAAGCATTTGAAAGGACTTTCTTTCCTTCTGTTAATGCAGGGAATTCTGAGTGGCTCAGCCTGGATATCATGTATTTCTTATAGCTACACATTATCACTCTTAAGACAAGGCCTTAGGAGGAGGTGGAGGGGAGAGACAACTTTGGAAAATGACTGATCAAACAGTCTTGTTACGCCGTGCTAAAGGTGAAAAACAGTGGAGCTTACAGCCTGTCAAAAGATCCTACATTGTGATGGGGTAATATTACAGTTGGAGTTTCTGATTCGGGTGGGTATACAATAAGACCTAATGGACGATTGTACAGTCCATTGCGTCCCAACAGCTCCTGTAATCCTTTAAGCAAAAAGTACAAGCTGATTTTCTCCACCTTTCATGTCATGCAGTGCAATTGCTCCAAAATTCCCCTGTTGTCATCTAATAGAAGTCAATGCGCAGATGTGTTACTGCCTCATTTGTACAGTTAATGTATGGTTAATGACATTGTTAATTGGTTACTTATTGGAGCATTAAAATGGCATCAAGCTCCCTCTGAGGTTTGCCTAATCAACAGGGAAACTTCACAGCTAATTACATGTTATCATTCCAAAGACATTTCATGCAACAGTCGACTGAATTACTACAACTTTCAAATCGCTTGAGCACAAGGGCGATCACTTCGGAGATAAACAAATGTTTTGCTGCAAAAACATCAAGCATAATTTGGTTCTCTGAGCCGCTTATTCCCTGTGGTTGGCTTTCTGTTTGTGTCCGGGGAGAACAGGGCTCCTCTTGGGCAATGTTAAAGAGCGGTGAACTTTTCATCGAGTCAGACCTGAGAAGAATGGAGCTGAGGCATGGCTGTGGAATGTAATAACCTGTACCTAGGACCGAATTTGAATTCTGAATTTTCAAAAAGGTTAGATTACACAGTTCTTTCTGCTTCATTGCGCTGTAGTTTAGCACTGGCTAAAAACAGGTGATTTCACTTTAAACATTATACGTTTTAAACCAGAGAAAACGTCATCATATTTCTCGTATCCTTGTTGAAAGTTCTTACCTCCGATTTTCCCATTATCATGAAATTCTAATGCACTTCGGGATTATTTGCCGGACAGCTTTATCTGATTGACATAAATTTAGAGCCGCTATAAAAACGCCAGTGTAGTCTAGTTATATGAGATGCGGTGACAGTATATTAAAGGTCTGAAAGCACATTATTCAGTGTGCACTGTATTGACTGCCTACAGAATATACCCTTGTGGAATGATAATCATCATCAACAATACACAGAACTCATTCTGAACAAGGTGCTATTGAACCCCTTAATTTAAGGGAGAGATTTGCTCTTAGTTTAATCAATCACAACCTGGGATCTGGGATGGATAATCAGGACCTTTCGAGCATCTGCAGGAGGCATGTGCCCTTGAAATGTCAAATGTCAAAATGTCAACTGACATTTTGTGTCAGTAATGGGATCACAGATATACTGTAATTACCAAAACTAAAATCGATTAGTATAGGCTGTTACTGGAGGAATGCAGGACAGCCATTTGGAATCAGACCTATCTATCCTGTAACTATGCTCTTATATGAGTATGGTAGATTTTCTGACATTCATTGTAAATATAACTCCATTTACAAGAGAGGCATGGCAGCTAACACAGTGCCACAACACTTAAAAGAGCTGTAGTATGTAGTATGGTAAGAGCTTTAGTATGGTGGACTCAAGCTGTTTTTGCTAACTCAAAAGCATTATGTCAAATAAGATGTTCAAATTGATTTTCTGAGAATAATCAAAACAGTAAGAACACCTACTTCATGATAATTACAGTGGAATTGATTTTTTACTCTCTTATAGATCCTATAGTTAACAGGTTTTACTGTATATTTTGAATCTTTAACTAACCTAGCAGTACACTGTAGGCCAAGGATATTGATCCACTCTTAATCAGCTCTTATTTCTTTCTTTTCAGGAACCTGGGGAAGTCAGGGCTCAGAGTGTCGTGTTTAGGTCTTGGTAAGTAAATATACTTGTTAGATACCAGCTGTTCATAGACTGCAAAGAAAAGAGTGAAGGGAAAATCTCAATTCATCAAAAAGAATCTTCACAAAAGAATATCTATTACATATAAGAACAAAAAGATTAGAAAGGTTACAAATGAGAGGTTTGTTTGGTTGCTACAGTAGTAGCAAATTGATCTACAGTATGGATCTGATTTAGCTGTTCAATATGGTATTCAGCTTTGACATAGCATGACTGTGACTCTTACAACCCTCTGTGTACAGATGTGTCACTTCTACTGCTCCTCTTGTAGTCCTTTCTATTCTACACTGTAAAAGATCTGTTTTTGCTAGCCTGTCAGTGAAGGACATTCCTTTAAGACTGGAATGTATCTGGTCACTCCTCAGGAATGATTCCAGAACTACAACATCTCTATTGTAATGTGATCAACAAAATTTTACACTGTGTTATGAATTAAGAATATGACATTCTTTGATTTCAACCCTGCACTCTTAACAATACATCTTCTACTTTCTTATGACTTTTTGTTGTTTCCTGTATTATCTAGATTATGTAAAAGATGTGTCAAAATACTGTAAATACCCAAGTCTTTTTCAGAAGCAGCTTCTTTCCACCGTAGGTTTTCCACCCTTTGTTGCACTCAGTAGTAGGTTTACATAATAATGAATGTTCATGTAGCTTGGAAGCCAGAGTTTGAAGATCTGCATCAGTGCTTATCTACCTCACACTTGTGGGCTTGTGTGATAGCTGTCTTTTATTATGTGCAATATACAATTCTAATAACAGTGATTCAGAATTGTAATGAAATCACCTGCTTAATCATGCCAGTAAAAACCAAAAGTCTCACTTTGTTCCTTTTTATTAAAGTTTATATCACATCATCGCATCACTTTCAACAGCCAATTCAGCATCATGGTGGCCTGGAGCCTGTCCCAGGAGATCTTGGGCACAAGATGGGATACACTCTGGGTGGGACACTTGTCCATCTCCGAGCACACACAGACAAAAACACACACACTCACACCAGAGCCAATTTTCCAGAAGCCAATTAACCTACCAGTATGTCTTTGGAGTGTGGGAGGAAACTAGAGTAAAGGTTATAGGAAACATTTTATTTCATTCTTTATTATATATTTCTAATTGTGCTGAGCATATCAACATGGGTTCTGCACAGCAATAAAGGGACACAATAAAGGAACACATTGATTGGCAAAAGTTGAATTTGTTTTATCTTTAGGTGTCACCACCTGGTCAAACCATAAAGCATCAACACAGAAAAATATACGTGTAACAGAAACAATGGTACTTTCCTAATGAGCAGAAGTCATTAGTTAAAAGGGTCTGGAAATGAAAAACACAGTTTTGCCTCTATTTGTCTTTTTTAACCCGTAGAATGATAATTGTTGATTTGTTATTCCCCTTCTGTCACTGTTTTGATTCAAACAAATAACTCTTAGAAAAAAAGACATTGGACGTTTATCGGGCTTGTAAATTCATTGTTCTTTCTCTGCTCCTGCCTCTAACTGCATTGTTTATAAAAGGTCTAGTGAGATCTCTAGAGCAAAGCAAATCAGCAAATTCAGCAGCTGCATTTCAGAAAACACATAAAACTGGGGCATGTTGAAGCTCAATATATACGGCTGCTCCAGAAAAATGGAAAACTAAGAAAAAGCTTTTTTCACATTTTCCATAGTTCTTTTATTCTAATTCTACCCTTCATTATCCCTGCAAAATGATGAACCTCCACATGTTCTTCAATAGTATCGAAAGAGAAAATGAGAAAGGCTATAATGCCAAAGTTTCCCAAGTTGAAATGCATTTATATTGTTTATTGCGTATGAGTCATCCCAAAGAGCTTTACCATAAAGACCTCCACAATTAGTTAGGTGAATGTTAATGAAAACCTGAGCTGATCCCAGTATGGTCACATCTATAAATTATACAAACAATTAATTATCTGTCCGAATCTGATGTGCCACCTAAGCAATTCATTTAATAAAGTCATAAAAATCTGCGAACTCTTAAATTTGTAGAAAGTTTAGAAGTTGTCTGATAGAACTAATTAACATGTCAATGAAAGGGGAAAATTGCAGTAAGGATTTTGAGTAAGTACGCAGCAAGACAAAAGGTGCCAATTTGTTCTTGATGACTAATATGAAATATGTTTTGTAATTGAGCTATTTGTGAGTAGCTCATTTATTATGCTTGATTCATTACTGTTAAAGTCGCCATATTAATGGCCAAAAAAGTCCTCTTCTGATTTAAAAGCCAACATGAGAAGAGAAGGCTTCATTAAACTAAAAGGTACAACAGACTGGATTTGGGAGTCTTGTGTTTGAACTTACCACAGCTCTTTACAGTACCTATGAAATGGGATATACAAATGTCTACTTCATACATGTATGAAATGGATAGTCTGGTCGTCATTAGATGTGTTAAGGTCTTTCTTCAATCTCTTCAACCTTTCCAAGATTCAGGATAGATTAACAGTTTTACCATGGAAGTTCTAGTTTTGCCACCTTATGCTCCATTATTTGAGTCAACGTTCTGCTCTTTTTGTCATTCATGAACAATTGTCATTAAACGATGTTAAAGACCTCAGTGGAACCTGCTTTTAACAGGCTTTTCTGCTCAATGCAAAAGTTAAATGGATGGTTGTGATGAGCAAATATCCCTTCAGCTTTCCGTGGACCTGAAAACCATATCTGTTTCATTTAATATTTTGCTGTTTTAAATATACAGTTCAGAATGGTTTGTTATATATAGATGGTCCACTATGACTTTCATTTTAGTGATCTTCATTCATCCAAATCAGTTTTCTAAGGGAAGTTAAATTGATGGTCTTTTAGATTCTGTCTAAATGGATCTATAAGTGCAAAATTTCATTTTCTATGAGCAGTGTAAAAAACTGTCATTACAGAACTGTGAGGAGCAAGTGTGAAGCAGCAAACAGCAGATGTACTGTACATATGAAAGGCAGTTGAGAGAAAAAATAAATTCTATCAGATAGACAGTGGGATTCCTGAAAGAATCACTGAACTGCATCCTGAGGATAATTGCAAGGGAGAAATACACACTTTTTTTAAACCAGATCTCGCAGTTCCAGATGAGATAGGTCCTTTGGTTTAACCTGTTTCCGTATGATATGCGACATCCAAAATGATTTATCTTCTCTATGGTAATTCAAGATGCACACGGTCATGTTGACTACATTTCAAGGTGTCCCTTTTTGTATAGAAAGTGTGTTTATGAAAGATACAATCATCATCTGAAGGAGAGCCGAAGTATCTGCATAGATTGCTATAGGAAACCAAGACCATGATTGTGCTGAATCCCTCTGTTCTCATTGCTTATATAACAGATTATAAACTACACATATACTAACAGAGTCCTGAAGAGATTAAAAGAATCCGTTGAATTTTCCAAAGAACTCAAGCAGCATCTAATTCTTTTGTAGACATCAAAGGAACAATCCCTCTTCCAATATTATTCTTGAAAATTACTTTCCCGACTAAAATTTTGAAATTTAAAAAATTCAAATAATGCAGAAGGGCGACTTCCTCTGTGTAAAAAATAGTTGACTTCTCCTGAAGATATTTAGCTGATCTGATGGTCGGGACCAAACAAACAAATAAATCAGTTTGAGTCATTGTCTTGTTGCACCACATCAGCTTTGCTTGCTGTGGGAAAAGATCTGTTTATAGAAGCAGTTCTAATCACAACAGATAACGCTCACAGCCCAACAGCAAACAGCAATTCTGCTGCAGAAGACCGGGGGTGTGAAACTCTGAGAAAAGGTTAGAGAAACACATGCTACCTGGCACTGGAGTGCTTCTGGGCTCAGGTGTGACAGGCCAGAACCAGACACTTGTAGGAAAATGCAGAACACTTTTGGATTATTGAGCAGTTTTTTTTCATTCATTTTGAGGAGTGTAAATGAGCTGAGACCTTTTATTGTGTTGCCATTGTTGTGGGAAATTCTTTATCGGAGGAGCAGAACACAGTCTTCTGCAGATTCAGTTGTATTGAGCTCAATAAGTCCAACAACGCGCGCTGGGTCAGCCCCACAGAACAGACAAATTGCAAGGGTTTCCCAGCTCTTATATACAGTCAGAAGAAAGTTTGTTTCACAATCTGTCCTGTTCTTTGATATGTGATTACCTCCTGTCCTACTCTGTCTTGCTCTAGGTTCTGTCCTTTGATATGCAGCAGACATTGGTCTGCTTTATCCTGTTTGTGGGTGTTGTTCTTGTCTTTTATTTTGTAGCGTTAAGCCACTGGGGCTGCTAAAGCAAGTCAGCTTTATGGCATCTTAGTGGAACTTTTGTTTGAGGCTAAATTAACAGACCCCACCAACACCTCTAAAATGCGCTTCAGTGGTGTACTGTGATGCTGGATAAGTGAGATATATACACGTCCCACTTCACCATCAAGGCATCAATATACAAGCAGGAACCTTTTCTGTACACCTGGGAACATTTGAGTGGAAATACACAAAATGCTATGAGGTGAGAATTAGGTATAGTGTCAGGGATAAAACAGACTAAGTAGAAATGTGACTAGATTGACGTGTTTTCTGAATGTATTTTATAATTACAGTGGAAAATAAATAAGAATAGGGTTATATTTATTCAGTTAGTAAAGTAAGCTTAGAAGTCACAACATCATCATGTCACCTTTTTGTTTAAGAGGAGAAAATGATTTAAGTGTCCCAATAGTAAGGAAAAACCACCTAGTATCACAAACTAACAACAAAGTCTTCAATAACCTCCTCTTTCAGGGAAGAATTCTCCCTAAAGACCAAATGTCACCTCCACTTTACCAAATGTGTGTTTTGAAAATTCTCCAAATTGCTAACTGGAGTTGTTCTTATATTGCAGGGAGATCCAGGACACTTTAGTGATTCATGACTGTAATATGTTCTTTTGTAGCCCCAGAGCCCTTTGCATTAAAAAGGACTTGAGAGCACAGTAGTTCAAGGTAGAATCCACAAA